TTAGCGACACCCTGCCACATATTCACTTGTTGACTAAATAATAAACGCTGCAAAACGTTGAGCCGTCTCTGTTGTGGTTATCTGCAATCAAGTCCGATCGAGCTATCGGCCCGTGGCCATTGTGACAGGTTTCATTTCACAGTCATAGTTGTCTTTTTGTGATCACACCAGCTTCCATCCCACAACCACAAAAACCCATCAGCTGGTCGTCAATACAGAAACAGAATTTTGAAAATAAACTTTGGCTTCACTGATATTATTTATGTATTTCGATTATGAACCGAGCCACTCTTATGAGGCTTTATTGGCGTCTGCTGTGGGAGGAGTTTGAAACTCACGTCTCTGAGGTTGAAGGTGATTTCCAGGTTGTTCCAGAAGTGATCTCCAAACTCAGGATACATGTCCAGCACCTCCTGAACATCTTCTCTCAAAATCTTATGAAGGTCGCAGTATGTTAGAGCCCTCACATCAGCGTTGGATTTACCGGGTCGGTGATACAGGTTGATGGGCTCGCCGAAGATGTCGTTCTTCCCTGGGAAGGGAGGAAAGAACAGAAAAGCACGTATTTGATTGTTGATCTTATACAAGCAGTCAACAAAGCAATATTGTGATGCATCAGGTGGAGCTGTAAGAACCTTTTATTGGACTTAAATGTCAGCTGTGTGAATCATATTTTAAATCTCAGTGAATATAGCAAATAAAGTTTGTTTCCGAAGCAGAAACATCTGTTCTAATTTGGTTTCAATGTATCTGTTTACAAATGAGTGCATGAAGTTAACTGATTGTTTTTATAGGGTAAGAAAGAAAGATGTGTGATGCCTGCACACTCCACACCTACATGCATGTTACTTAAAAAGATCGATCAGTGTCTTGTTGCAGGGAGCTACAGCTTGTGTCATGTATGTGGAGCAGTGCTGCTGTTACCAGTAGATGGCAGAACCAGCTCATGCTTATGTGGCTGTGTTAGGCAAGCTTCAGGAAACAGAAACTCCTGTGCACTGTGTTGTCTAGCACAGTAAATACTGCAGTTTTTATAGATTTAAAATTTAAAACTCTTGTTTTATCAAGTCACCTGTGACCTCACAGTTACCAAGGAGACACATTATTATATACATTCTCCAGCCGTTTTGTTAAGTACACTTGTTCGCCTGCTCATTAACGTAAACATCTAATCTGACAGTCACATGGTAGCAGCGATCAAGACGACTTGCTGAGGTTTTAACCGAGCATCAGCACGTGACAAACAATGTTCCCTCTAATGTTTCACGTGTCTGAGCGAACACACAAACTCCCTGAGCGGTCCTTGGACCACTGTGAGCGACGTGTGCACTGTGGTCACGCCAGCATCGAATCATCCAAGTTACATGTTTATTAAAGTAATCAAATTACAGCATTTATGTTAGACTACTTTTAATTAACTGCTTTAGCCCACTTACAATGAAAATGTAAAAAAATCTTGTTCCTGACCTGTGTAGCATGTTATCACTATTGGAAGGAAAAATAACTTGAACTCCAATTTTGAAAATACAACTTTCTTTTTTTATAAAGCTCTGACTGTATTATGAGTCTGTGGTCTGGGAGAGAGTCTGTAACTCTGTCTGCAAATACAGTAAATAATGACCAATGTTGGGCAATTAATTATATAGTTACTTCTTCAAAAAAGTAACTGAGTTGTGCAAACAACAAAGTGTTTTGCAGCTGTTTACCTAAAAATGCAGCCAAGGCATTTTTTAACAAACATTTCAAACTATTTACAGAACAATCAGCTGTTCTGCATCAAAT